GTTAAAAAAAAGAGTTTGCAATTTGTAATGTAGGCTAATATTCTGTTTACAATAAGGGCTCCTTCTTATAGAAAAAGGAAAGACCAGTAAAGAAAATGGCAAATKACAGACATATTCAATCCATAGGAAAGGAAATAGTCCTTAAGCATATAAAATGCTCCCTATGCTCATGCATGAGAGAGAGGATAATGCATCTATATAATCTTTTAATACTTTTTTGGTCAATAGATTGATTTACTCTTTGACTTGGAATTCTCATTTTTGAGAGTCTGTTTTATAGATGAAACTATACATGTTTACACACACACACACACACACACACACACACACACACACGTACATACACAGTAGTGTTTTTGATATTTAGGGATATTGGTTCTAAGATCATCCCCCAGTGGATACCAAAATTTGCAGATGCTCAAGTACCTTATTTAAAATGGCATGGTATATGCATGTAATCTATGATAATAGAATCCCGCATATTTAAATCATCTGCTACTTATAGTACCTAATATAATGTAAATGCTATGTAAATAGTCGTTTTAGTGTATCATTTAGGGAATAATGACAAGTAGAAAGTCTGTACATGTTTAGAACAAACACAAATTTGTTATTTTCATTTATTATATATGACAGCAGAATGCATAACAATTCATATTACACATATAGAACACRAATTTTCATATCTCTGGTTGTATACAAAGTATATTCACACCATTTGTGTCTTTATACATGAACTTAGGCAATGATGTCCATCTCATTCCACCATCTTTTTTACATTCCTTGCTTCCCTCCCTTCCCATCCCTCCCCTTTGCCCTATTTAGAGTTCCAGACACAAATGTTTAAAAATATTTTCAATCCCTGGTTGGTTCATCTACCAATGCAGAGTTCATGGATATGAAGGACTAACAGTATATGATTATTCATTACAGTCTTGCATGTAATGGTAAGAATTGGAGAAATAAACTAAATATACGGCAATAGAGGCTTGTTTCATGAAACTATAGTACAGATTTTCCAACACTTCTATCTAGTGCCCACTGACTTTTTTTTTTCCAAACGTTAACATATAAAATTGGTTATTTTTTAAAAATTTTTTCTTTCTATAAATTTAATGCAGTTCTTGGTTCTCCTACTTTGACCTGGACTGGGTGGTCTAGTTTCTTTTGTACAGCAGTAATCTTGGGCCTTGCCTTTACTTTCTCCTTGGTTGCAGCACCTGTTTCTTAGATCTCATGTCATCTTTGCAAGCATAATTTTTTGATTCTTGATTATTTWAAAAAAATGTTTTTATTATTCTCTCAATTGTTAATTTGTCTTGATATTAGAACTTATGTTGAAAAAGTTTGGTTTTTGAAGATATTGTGGCACTTTATTCTACCCACAATCAAATTTATAAAATATCCTTTAGCCATTTCTTTTCCCATTTTACCTACTTATTTCCACTATTGAGGTTTATATTTTTCCTTTGTTATTTGTGTTTGAACTTTGTTTTATAAAGAAGAAAGTAAAAATCAGATAAGGTTCATTGCCTTTTATGTTTTACTCAAAACTAAAAGCATTACTAGAAAAATGAAATTTTAAAAAGACATGAAAAATGTAGACTCCAGTTTGTTGCTTTTCAATTCCATATACAAAATTAACTCAGTTCTGTATATTTTCATGAACTACCCTTTCAGCAGCATGGATGCAGACTGCCTTCTCTAACTCATTTATTGTTCTATCTCTTTTCTTTCTGARGTCCTTTTCTTGCCTGCTTTTAGAATTTAGAAAAAATTTTCATTAGTGGATATGCTGTGGAAAATTCCTAGTTTCATTTGTCAGAAAGTATCTTGGTTTTACTTGAATTCTTATAAGAAATTTTTGTTGTACAAAATTATATTTTTGGCATCTTGAAAATAACCTTTCCACTGTGTTTTTGAGAAGTTGCCCATTTAATTGTTGTTAAGGACCAATTGATTATGTCTTTTTAAAAAGTATTATTGATTAATCTAAATATCTTCTTGTATTTTTCTCCTCTAGGGAATACAGTGAGTAACCTGATTATGATCATACCTCCAATTTTGGGTGCAATTCAGAGTATTAGAGATGGACTAGAAAAGCGRTACATTGGTTCTTATTTAGCACTCACAGGTACGTATAACATTTCATCTGAAAAAAAAAAAAGATATATAATGTACTGGTGAACTATTTTCCTTTTTCATTTCTAAAAGTAGTTTTCAATTTTGTGTTATTACACAACATATCCTGAAACTTCAAAATTAAAACTCCATAAACCTTGCCAATGAATTGAACTACACACTGAATGAATTTTTTTTAATAATAAAATATTTCAACATACAGAAAATAGAGGTAATATAATTAACATAAACATATCTCTTACCATCCAGCTTTGTCAGATCATAACAGTTTGGAATATTTGTTTCAGATCTTAACTTTTTCTACTACAAGGGACTATACTAGTGCAGATAAAATTGAAACTTTCTTTGTATTTCGGCCTGATTCCCCCTTAGCTTCCTAACCTYTCCCCCAAGACCTAACCTTTATCCTGAATTTGATCCTTATGACATTTTTTGATTCTTATAACTTTCTCAGATGCTTTTATGTATATATGCACACATATGTACTCTTAAAATATACRTAATATTTTTAAAAGTACATATAATATGGTTTTGCATAGTTTCATACTTTTTGGAAATAATGCCGTACTTTATCTAGTAATAAATAATGCCCTACTTTATCTAACCTTTTGCAATTTATCCACTTGTCTGTGAGGGAGGGACTATGTTTTAGTCATCTTTGTAMCCCCATGGTCCTCAGTAAGTGGTGGATGGATGGATGAATCAACTTTACCAGGGCCTAAAGTGTTATGTTCTTGCATCATCATAATAAAGGGAAAAAAAACCAAACACAGTGAAGGAAGTGGATTCTAGTTTATTTTTTAAATTTAACACTCTAAACATTTGTTTTATATAATGCTAAACACAATTTCTTTTGTTTTAGCTCACTTAGGGTATTATTTATACAAGGACAGAAAGGACTTCCAGTTATCACAATTATAAACTAGTATATTGTGTGAGATTCTACCATAATTAATCATATATTTTGTGAGACTTCAGAATCTATTATTCATATACATGGAGTTTTAAGAAAGGAACTTGAATTATCTCAAAAAGAAGACACCYGTGAATTTAGGCCTTAACTTTGTATCCTGGGTTGTTTTAAGAATGTTTATAAAATGCAATCAGATCAGAATATTAAAAACTTCAGTAGTCTTACCAAAGGGAGCTGTCTTAAACTAAGAAACTTGTTAGTCACCCAAAACCTTTACTCTGTACATAAAATGGACAGAAAAAAATTAATTTTCATACAAAATTATACTCTAAAAGGAAAACGGAATCAAAATATTTTGGCCAATGTAAGTTSTTTCCACAACTAACTCTGAAACAGAAGAAAACCATAACATATTCCTCCTAATTGAATTAAATAGCCTCAAGCAAATAAATGAATACAAAATTTAAAAGGTAGACCTGCAAAATGATAGAATGAAAAAGGTTGCCCACGTCCATCTCCTATACCACCAAGAAGTCTGCATCCTCCCACAGACAAAAGTTCCTTTGTGAAAGACTCAGGATTTAAGTAGGAGACTTGAATGGGATCCTGGTGGAGAGTCTTTTGAGAATGCAGACCCAAACCCAGGCAACAGATATACTAATATTGCTCCTGAGTTCAAACCTAGAAAAAGCCCTGTTCCCCTAAAGGCTTGATTTAATCCTTGGGCCCACAATCAATACCATCTGCCAARGGATCCAGGAAGAACCATAAATTTCTAGTGCCTTAGCAGAGAGATTCAGTTACCTGCTAACATTGGTTTTGGCAGCAGATCTAAAAGCTACCCTGTTGCTTGGCTCCAATTCCCCTCAATTGTGGTCCTAAGTTAGGACTACTCACACAAGGACATTGAGGGAGACTTGCCTGTCTTTAAAAGTCCATCAACTACCCATCTGTCAGAACCTCTGTGACATGCTTGCTAGCCTCCATCTCACAACAGATACTGAGATAGCCTGCTCTTAGCTCTGGTCTCTCTCACTGCAGTTAGAAATTTCTAATAGCTTGTCTCTGTTAGGAACTGCTGGGAGATGCATGCCTATGTGTTTCTTTAGGATGGGCTTACCATCCTCTGTCCCACAGCAAATCTTGATTGGTTCAATTTTAGCTCAAGCCCCTATTGCCATAGTTGGGCATCTGTCACACCTGTGTGAGGAATTGGAAGGTTTTCTGGGCTTTAGTCCCTGGCAAGGTTTTCCACATAGCTAGGTAACTCCTTGGTTCTTCCATAGACATAAGTGATTGGGCTCTACATCAGCCTTAGCGCCCTCATAAGGTTCTTGGCAAATCTGGTCTTAAGACACCCTCTAGTGCTAAAATGGCTTCATCAGTCACAGGCTTACAGAATCCAAATCAGAATGCCTAGAACTTATCGACAGACTTAGTGAAGAAGGATGATGACAAAGCCAGACTATGAAGATTGGCGTAAACCCTTAATTCTTCAGTTTGGAAACATTCAAAAGCATTAAAAACAAGCAGGAGAATATTACTCATCAAATAGAATAAGGTGCCAGTGACTGACCCTAGTAAGATTGAGATATGCAACCTATCAAAGAATTCAAAAGAGCTTACTACAACAAAGTTCAGTAGACTTCATGAAAACACAGAAATAATTCAGAAATTTATCAGAGAAGTTTAACAGAGATTGAAATAGTATTTTAAAAATTCAAACACATCCTGGATTTGAAAAATATAATGAATGAAATGAAAAATGTAATAGAACACTTCATCAGGATGACTCATCAAGCAGAAGAAAGAATCTATGGACACAAGGACAGGTTATTAGAGTATATATAGTCAGAGTAGAAAACATTAAAAAAGAAGGAAGAAATCTAAAGGGATTTAATGGACTAACATCAAGAATAAATATATGGGTCATTGGAATTCAAAAAGCAGTAGAGAAAGATAAAGGGATAGAAAGTTTATTTAAAGAAATGATAGCATAAAATTCTCAAAACTGATGAAGGATATGTCTTTCCAGTACAGGAAAGTGAAAAGTCACTAATGTGGTTAAATCCAAATAAGAATCCACCAAGAATCATTATAATCACATTATTAAAGGTCAAAGCCAAAGAARGATCCTGAAAGCAGCAAGAGAAAAAAAAAAGCAAATAACATAAAAAGGACTCTCAACACACCTACTTCAGAATTCTCAGTTGAACCCATATAGGCTGGAAGAAAGTAGAATAATATATTCAAAGTACTAAAAGAAAAAAACCTGCCAAGAATATTATACCCAGCAAACCTGTCCTTAAGAAATGAAGGAGAGGGCTAGGGTTGTAGCTCAATGGTAGAGCAATTGCTAGCACGTGTGAGACACTGGGTTTAATCCTCAGTACCACATAAAAAATAATAAATAAATAAAGGTATTGTGTCCATCTACAACTAAAAATATATTTTTTTTAAAAAAAAAGAAAGAAATGAAGGAGAGAGAAAGACTTCCAGACAAATAAAAGCTGAGGAATTTATCACTTCCAGGYCCACTTTGCAAGAAATGCTGAAAGGGTTTTCCAAGCTGACATAAAAGAATATCAATGAGTAACATGAAATTATCTGAAGGTATATAACTCACCATCAAATAGTAAATATGGAAGCAAATGCAGAGTGCTCTAAAGTAATGAATGGTGGGATATAAACACATCTTTAGAATGAAGGGTAAAAGACAAAACTATTAAAATAGTAGTAACTAATAGTTATATACATTATAAAATTATGTAATTATGACATCATAAATTTAAATTATGTCGAGGAAAGGAGTTAAAGTATAAAGATTTTTTTTGGTTTTATGTTATCAAACATAAGTTTTTATTTACTTAATATAAATATATAACTACAGAGTATTCTTGGTAAACCTCACGGTAACCACAAAACAAAAACTTCTAATTGAAAAAAGCAAGGAATAAAAACATAATACTAGAGAAAAATCACTTAACTACAGAGGAAGACAGTAAGAGAGGAAGATAGGACATACCAAACAACTACAAAACATAACAATATGCCATAGTAAGCCCTTACCTGTCAATAATTACCTTGAATATAAATGGATTAAATTCTCTAATTAAAGGACATAGAGTGGCTGAATGGATTGAAAAAAACAAAACTCAACTGTATGCTGCCTTCAAGAGACTCACCTCACCTATGACTTTCTTTGATTCAAAATCTATATGTGTGTGGAAAGAAAACATTAGCTAGGCACAGCAGCACATGCTTGTAATCCCAGCTCTTTGGGAGGCCAAAGCTGGAGGATCTGAAGTTGAAGGCCAGTCTGGACAACTTACTGAGACTCTGTCTCACAATAAAATAAATAAAAAGTACTGGGGATATAGCTCAGTGCTAGAGCATCCTGGGTTCAATCCGCAGTATTACAAAAGAAAAGACAAGGTTGACAGATTGAATAACACAGAGAATAAAAATGAAGAGATGCAAAGTGATATTCTATCCAAATGGAAACCAAAAGGGAGTAGGATCAGCTATACTAATGTCATATAAAATAGACTTTCATGCAAAAATTGTAAAAAGAGACAAAGTTGGTAATTATATAATTATAAAGGGTCAATTTAGAAAGTGGATAGAAGAATTGTAAATATATATATACACATTAAAGCAAATGTTGTACATCTAAGGGGAGACATAAACTACAATTCAGTAATAGAAGGAAGCATCAACACCCTACTTACAGAAATGGACAAATCATCTAGACAAAAATCAACAAAAAATTAGCAGATTTTAACTGCACTCTAGACCAAGTAGACCTAACAAACATTTACAGAACATTCCCCACAACAGGTAGCCAATATACATTTGTCTCAACAACATATGGAACATTCTCCKTGATAAATTATGTCCAGTCACAAAGCTAAGCCTTAACAATTAGAAGATTTAAATAATTTCAAGTACCTTTTCTGACCAGAAAGATATAAAACTAGAATTAGTAAATGGAATAACTTCAAAAACTACAAATACATAGAAACTAAAGAACATGCTCCTGAACAACCAATGAGTTAATAAAGAAATTAGAGGGGAAA